CATCTTTTTTAGCAAAATTTTGGAAGAAACTTTGATGTACTTAATGCAAACGTTTGTAATTATTAAAGCTAATTTAAAATTGATAATTTAATTACATATCTAAGTTTGTCTCAGAATTACATTTTCAAGAAATTTCTTTTCGAGAAATTTGATATGAGAGAAATAGGCATGATAAATTCATCAAATAAAATAAATCACAAATGAATAATACAATTTATAATTGCTTTTTTTTTTTCTTTTTCTGTTTCAAATCTCAAAATAAAAATCTTTTTTTCAATATTATTTAGGAAAGACACATTGTTATTTTCTTTTTTAAATTAACAAACTTAGAGATTTATATTCACTACGTACAAAAATATGCATAGCAGTCAGAAAAGAAAAATGAAACAATCTTTATAAAAAGAAAAAAAAAATGTATTAAAGTACGTACATATAATAAAAGATAATTTCTAGTAATTCTTAACAAACATAAATTTTCGTATTTATTTTTCAAATTAATAAAAAATAAATGACAGTACTAATTTAGTGATTCATTGTATAATCATACGATTTTCATGAATATTGCAATCGTATTCAATATAATACACTGATTTATTATTTAATGCTTGTCGTAATTCATTAATAAATTACCATTTTGTATTTTTAAATTGATATTTTAACATTAAATTCTTGTGTTTATAAACATAACAAAAAGAAGAAAATATTTGTAACTGAAATTTATAATTGTAATGAGATGAAAATTAAGAAACAAAACCAAATATTATTTGTTTACAATAATAATATATAAAGTTCCTAATATATTCGTTCTTTTTCCTTTTTTTTTTTTTTTTTTTGCGATTTAAAAGCTTTCACTTATGAAACTATTAAAAATAAAATCCAATATATAACAACTAATTTTATAACAACATTTTGGGAATTAATCTCGAGATAAATTGCTAATTTTAAACTTAGACAATTCATTTTGATTTCAATATTTTTAAAAATTAATGCTAAAAAATGCATTATACTTTATATTCAAGCAGATTGAAAATCAAAAAATTTTCTCATAAATTAATTATATTTTCGATCTCAAGAAAGTCTTATATTTTACTTTCTTATACAGTTAGTTAGTCCATGCGCAATTTTCATATTTCTGAACCGAACAATTTAAAGATTTTCATCTTCGAATTACTTCTTTATTCATATTCTCTCTCTCTCTCTCTGTCTCTCTGTCTCTCTCTATTCATATCTTATAAGAACAACCTTTAATAACAGGCAATATTTGTAAATTCTGAATTAAATATTTATAACAAATTTTTGCTTAGTTATTCTACAGTTTCAATAAATTTAAATTTAAATGAACTTATCCTTATATTCTTAGAAAATTAAAAGTTGAAAATCGGGAAATTTTTTAGAAAATTTTAAATTTAAAAGTATAAAGATTTTAAATTTAGAAAATTTTCCAATTTTTTAAGAATAATCGAGATAACGTATTAGCTCATTTAAATTTAAATTGCATTGATAAATCTTATTTGTTGATGAGATCTCAATAAAATGATAATTGTAATTTTGCTTATCAATTATTCATTTTTATTTAAAAAAAATAAAATAGATAAATAAACAATCATTTTTTAGCTCATCTAATATCGTCAACAGAACGATCTGAACTAAACAAGCAAGCAAAAAAAAAAAAAAAAAGTGACAACTTAAGTTCTTTTTAATATGTTTCTTAACTTTTATTAATATACTTCTTAAAACTTAACTCTCTTAAGTTCTTATTAACTTTTTATCAATGTTATCACCTACCTCATTTCATCTTCTCATTCCAATGATCGCAGTAATTGAAACTGCAGTTTTAGTACCAACAATTATGCTAAGAATTACGAACCGTTGTCAGTAAGAGTTACTGATGGAATGTTCATAGCAATGTTATTAGCAAATGATATGATCTTTTACAGCTAAAATAGTTTACTGATAATTTCAAGAGGTAATCAATCTATTAAATACGAGTAGCATTTGTTAAAAACTTAACAAACAAAATAAACATGAAATTAATAAAGCATTAATAACTCATCATTCATTAATTTTACACATATATTTCGATCAAATAATTTTAAAATAATTATGAATTTTAATCAAAGCAAAAAAACTTTAACATTCGAGAAAGTATGAAAGTTAGTACATTTTCTATTATATATCACAAATTAATTAATGTGATAATGGGTTATCATATATGGCAATAATTAGAGCAAAGTAAACTTTGTCAGACCACTCTCTCTCTCTCCCTCTCTCTCTCTCTCTCTCTCTTTGTTTTCATATCTTTCCTCAATTTTTATTTTCAATTAGACAGATCAAAAATCAATGAAGAATCTATTAAAAAATGAAAACCTAAAAAGTTGTCAAATAGAAAAAAAGAAGCGAAGAATATCATTTGAATACTAAATTGAAATTTGAAAGCTTCAAATATTCATTCTTTAATTTTTTCAAATATTTTATAACACAACCATATATATCAGATTGTAAACTATGCATAATTAAACTACAATTTTTTATAATTTTCTTTTTTTCACTTTAATTTTCATTTGCAAATCAAAGATAAATATTTTATACGTAAAATGATTTGATCACTATTAATTCAATTAAGCATTTTTTTTTATTTTTAATAATAAATCTACACAATACGATGATTGAAAGTTTCAAAATCGATGAGTATTGTGGTAATTTTAATAATTAGAATGTTCGTTCTTTATGATTAAAACTATAATTTTATATAAATACCAAATAAAATCACAAATAATTGAAATAAAAAAAGAGGATTTATTCTGAGAAATCAAAAGTTATCAATCGATCTTGATATGAGGAAGGAAAATGCAATTAAAATAAAATTGGCTTAAGTGAAAGAAGCGAAGTAATTAAGATAGTTCTAAATTGGTGAGATAATTTGAAATTAAAAAAAAAAAAAAATGCAGCAAATTGATTAGGAAAGAATTAATAAATAGTTTTCTAATAGAAATAACTAGAAAGCATATATGGATAAGTTTGAAATTAAATTTGATTGCGATGATTTGCATTAACTGTCGAAAAAGTATTTTATGTTTGATAATCAGTAGTCACTCATATTGTTAAGATCAAAACTTTTTGTAAGCTTCTAGAATTCAGCTCTATTATTCTTAGATCAATTATTTTCACTAAAATCTAATGATCAAAAAAAAATTTTTTAAAAAAAGAAAACATGAAATGGATATTTCAGAAAGTCATAGGAATGTAAGACAGATCTTTAATTACTGATGTTTTTATTAGCAAGCAAAATAAAAAGTAAATAATAACATTAAAATCCCTTCTAAAAAAAAAAAAAAAATTTTTTTTTGAAGTTGCATCACAATTTCAAAAAAAAAAGTTCGAATCCTTAGGACATTACATAATTGTTCTAAATTAATTAAAAAAAGAAAAAAGCTAAAATATAATTTATTTTTATTATATTTTTTTGCTTTTGTATTCTTTCTGATCACAGTAATTCTAATCCTTTTATCTATTTTTGCAAATAAATGTGCTAATTTGTTATACTAATTACTTCAGTAAATTATTTAGAGCAAAAGAGACAATTTTAGAAGAAATAAAATTTTTAGGAGTGTTATTGAAAATAGCTAACATAAATTTATTTAAAATATTTGATAAATTGAAGCATCTTCGTTTTTAATAATAATTTCGTTAAAATACTTAAAATTATTTCTTAAAGTTTTATTATAATAATATTTTCCCTAATTGATAAACAATTAGAGTATATGAAGAACCAAAAAAAAAAAAAAAAATGTTGAAAATATGCGATTTCATTATCAAGCAGCAAATTTTAAAAAAGTTAATAAAAATCAAAATTATAATTAAGTATGCCTTCCAAAAAAAAAAAAAAAAAAAAAAGGCCAAGAATTTCAAGGCATTCCATTTCGAAATTAGTTCGAAAAATGCAAAGAATAAGAAAAAAAAATGCAAATTATTAATTTTAGAACAAATTTTTCCTTTTATGCATTTTCAATCTGTTCTTCTTTTTTTTTTTGTTTTACGTGTACTATACGTGAAAATTTTTTTTTTAAGCTTTTAATAATTACGTTTGATTTGATCTCTTTTTTAATTTATGTACAACATACGTGAAAGTTTTTTAAAATTTATTTTAATAATTCAAGCAAATTTGATTAGTTTTCGGTGAATTTTAACTTTTTGATTAGATTCAGAAAAATATTCAAATGTAGATAATTGATTATAAAACCTATAAATTATTCAAAATAATAGTAATATTATTACTTTAATGTTCTTTAATTTCCTCTAAATGCTCCTTTATTATTCTTTAATTTCATTTTTTAACAAACATTTATTTTACCTCAATTAATATTTTAAGATCTAATTTAATGCTATTCATGTTTTAATTTTCAATTTTAAATCTACTTGAATGGGTTTATTGATTTTATTGACATTATAAGAAATTTGCTTTACTGCTCTGTGCTAATTCTTTCTTGAACTGACCGATCATTTTAAATGAGTGCGAAGCAATTAGAGAGTATTTGTGACCTAATTTTGCTTTCATTCCTAATTTCACATTGGAATATGAATATGTAGTTCGGAGAGATTCATTAATATTAACTATATTGTGTGTATATGAAGTCAAAACAAATGGCAAAAATTTATTAATACTTAAAAATTATTGCAATAAAATCAAAATAAGAAAAATATTTTTTAAATTAAAAAAGTTCACAAATAATTTATTAGAGATATTTTTAAATGAAATGAAATGCAATGAATGCAATCGCAGATGATTAGAAATCTGATTACAACAGAATGAATGAATGAATAATACAACAAGCAGAATTAAACGGAAATGATTACATTTCATTTCTATGCTAAACGTGCAATTCAGTGATTTCATAGTTTTACTTATCATTTAGTAGTTTTAAAATTTATGAAAAAATAAAATAAATTATAATATTAACAATAATAGTGTTGCAGATATTCCCATAGTATTGTTAATCCATTCATGGGCAATTTTCTTTGTCCGAATCATAGGAAAAGTTAATTCCCGAATCTTTATTTTCTGCTTCTTCCAGTGAATGTTCATTTTTTTTCATCATCTCCTGCAGTTAGGAAGAAAAAAATTCCAAGTAATTGAAGTCGAGCAGCAAAATTAGAAATAAAAATGATAAATAATTAACGTGATATTACCACTTTACTTAAATATCTCTTCTTACGCTTTTACGAATAACTAACGCGCTCCATCAGCCAATTTCTGATTTTTTGATGCATTTCGTTACGCTGTTTTCGTGCCTCACACGTACATTTACGAGAACAGCATGGCGTAGACGTAAAAGTTGCTTGATGCGGAGGTGGTCCAGGACTTCTGCATTTCGTCGCATCAGGAGTCATATTTCCCTTTGTCATCACTTTTTCCATTTCCTTCCTTCACTGCTATCTCTCTGAAATCAACAAAGCACACGCAAGTAACGCTACGAATAGTAACTTATATTAAGCAAAGACAAATGTATCTACGCTCGGATCTCACTCATTTATACCTGTCCTAAAATGACATCCCATCCACTCCAGGTGGTTTAATGATTAGTGCTCCTCCCTCGGTTAGTGCAGAAGAGATAACACTTAACTTTTGCAATCCTAAATCATTGATTCAAATGGCAGAAGGAAGAAGTGATGTTCACTTGTCAAAGAAAGAAAGTTAAACTGACTTTCAATCAGCAAATATGACGTATTCTGACCTCAACTCGTTGACCAGAAGAGTTCTTGAAGTCGTTAAGTATAATTAGCTTCGCATAAATTTTATAGTCCACTTGAAGATGAATTACAACAGTAAGGATCTTATCTGTCGAAATATGAAATGATATGGATTACTTCTACGTGATAATTTGCAATTGAATCAGGAGAGATCAGTTAGATTTGAAGTAACAAACATTTCTAATAAGTATTAGATATCATCAGTGACTTGAAGTTTGTAAAATATTACAAAATTAATAAGTGGTATGATTCTCTGAAAGGTTTCCTATAAATAGTACTTTTACAGATTCCAAAGTAATACGTAAAAAAGAGATAACTCAAACATTTTATTAAATAACAAAATTTGTTTGATTGTTTATATCGATTAAGTATTTAGCACATTCTTTTATTATTTTTTAAAGTGGAAAGCTGTGTAAATTAAAAAAGATAAATATTTAAATCAGAAAGAATCATTCGCACATAATCTTTTTGTCTAAGAAATATAATTAAATCTAATTTTATGCTTTTTTAACCGCTCATTGAAATTGCATTCACTTTATACTGGTGATATTAAATATTATGAGCGGCAACTTTTCAACATCTTATTTCTCTCTCTCCTCTCTTTCCCTCTCTTTTTCTCTCCCTTTCTCTCTCTCCCTCTCTCTCTCGATGAATTTAGAAATAAGCTACGGCTATTACTGCAATTTCAATCCAAAAACATCGAAATGTGAAAAGAAATCTGTGTTTATACAGAAAATATCTGTCCATTTCGGTGTTAAATGACAAAATATACTTTTTTTTTTTTTTTTTTTTTGAAAATTTTCAATTTTCCCACTGAGATGCTATATTCAAGAATTTACTAGATTATATAAAATAAGTAGAGATAAAAGAATGGTCATTTGGTGACCTTTTCTCTTTCATCCATTTTCTTTTTCTTTTTAATTCGCTTCAAGTGATGGCTTTCATTTGACAAAGTCATTTATAATTAGCCAAAGACTTAACTCTAATATTTTCATCTCTAATAATGTGTGAAAATTTATGAGTTCCAATTACATTTCTTAAGTTATCTCACTAAGATTGCAGTGTGAGTTCTGAAAGTGTCGTCCTTATGAACTCTAAAAAAATGAAAATAAACTTTCAAATGTTTTTTCAAATAACAAAAATTGCAGTATCAGTTTCGGATTGCTTGTGTAATTACTGTGGTTTTATCATCGAAAGACTGAAGTAAAAGCAAGTGCAAATCAGAAATTAAAATATTTGCATTCGTAAATTTCGAGACTGTTTCTTTCTCATGAACTAATTAGCCAACCACACCTCACGTAATCACTTTTCCCTTTCAAACATTGTAAATTATACAGGACGACATCATCTCGTCACAGTATTTGTCACCTCATTCCATTATCTTATAATTACCTTTCGTGCAATTAAGAAACAATCCATTGTCAAATTATATTGGATAGGATCGACCTGTCGGTGTACTTTTAATTGAGAAAGACATTGATTTGTGCTGTGATATTTTTTCAATCAATGTTTCAATATCAGAAATGAAAATCAGAAATGAAAAATGCAATAAATTAAATCTACTAATTCATTGCAGTTTCATTTCGATTCAGTTTTTTTTTTTCTTTTGAACGAATAGAAGGTCAACAAATTGTTTACTATTTAACCGATGTTTACAGTGATCCATAACTTCTGAAGTACTTCAGTTTATCAACTCAATCATATAGAGATGTCTTTTCTGAATCAAAATGAATGACTTTATTAAGAGCTGCTATAAAAATTAGAAATAAAATAATATGACCTATCAATAATCGGCCCGGATTCTACTTTTTTCCTTTTTTTTTTATTTACCAATTCATTTGATGACCTAATTTTGATAAAGTCTAAATAAAACTTTAATTGAGAAATATTCTAGCGAAATATATTCGAAATTTTCCTTACAATTATTATTTATTTATACTTCACGATAAAAATTGTGTAAATTATCTTCTGAGTTTTTTTTTTTTTTTTTTACTTTGTTCTTTATATGATTGATTATTAATTAATATCACTCCTAAATATTCCATTAATTAATTAAATATTTCATTTAGCTATTCATTTTCATGTAATTTCTCACTGATATAATCATCATATTTAACACCTATCATATCAATATATTGTCAATATCGATTTACGAATTTAAGAAATAAAGGAAAAAAAAAAAAAGAAAGGTAAAAAAATGATTGTATTTACAATTATAATTACAATTAAACGATAAAACGATACAGTCTAATCACAGATTGTAACTCATCGTTAAAATGATCATAAAATTTATTAGAAGTATTTGATACCATATAACTTCTTAATAACTCTTATATAGATTAGAAGTAGAGTCATAAATTTGTATGAGTATGACAAATGGATGATTGATGAGCTTTAAAAAGTACATCACAGAAGCAAATGTATAAACATATAATATGTTATACATAATTAAATGTTAGACTGACATACAATCAAATTACTTTAATTTTCTTAATTAAAAAATCGAAGAATTAAATAAAAACAAAACAAAAAAAAAGAAAAAGGGAATTGAATCAAATGTCGAATTTTGCATAAGAATGAGTCAGAATAATGTGGGAAATCAAAAAAATAGAAGCTAAAAGAAGTAAAATTACTGAAATAGTTTATGATATAATTATCATACTAAGTGAATAATATAACGAAGATAAACTATTAGTAATACATTTACTAATTTCAATATTCAATTTAATCATACTGCTAAAAGATTTATTGTTTTATTTATGTTTGCACTTCAAAGTGATTGCCTTTCTAGCTGCTCTCTTACTTCCAAACATTTGTTTAAATTTATTTTCTATTAAACATTTTACTTTTATGCATTGCTACACTGAAAGAATCAAAGAAACTAATCTCAATGATTGATGATGTTATGATCAAATGATTACCAAAAATTATTCAGCATTATGATTTGATAGGAATGTTAAAAAAAAAAAAAAAGAAAAAGAACAATTCAAGTTTGAGAATTTCTGGAAAAATTCAAATATACAACAACGATTATATCATTGCCAAAAAATTATGGTGGAACTGTTGAATTGCAATATTTATATGTGATAGAACTTTTTCTATGCTTGACGAGAAATAAAATACTGTGGCAAACAGAATCAACGATATGAAAGTTTATGTTAAATAAAGGATGAAGTAGATGTCTAACAATTAAGGTAATTGAACGACTAACCAAATTACTCTTTGTGAGTAATAAATAAAAGAATAAGTGAAGTAATTCTAATTTCTATTCGATTTAAAAACTGAAATATTCTTCATTAGAACACGACAAAAAAAACTTCTATATTTGCTGTAAAATTGAACTTACCAATTATTAGCAATAATTTGAATCTCATCGCTGTTGCATTCTGTTACTTGAAAATGACTTATGCACGCAACGTCAAGTGTAATATAATTTATACTAAAAATTGACAATATTTTTACACAACATTTGAAATACTATGTATATTCTGAATGAAATAATATCTATATTCTGAATACTTTGCAATTGAGAATTTTTTCTTCAATACAATCAAATAGGACGAAAGAAGCAGGAAAAAATAATGAAGGAAAAGAGAACTAAATGAAAGAATCGAGTAAATTTATAGAGTAATGATATTTTGAAAAGTATAAAATTAACACTTCATAATACATAAGTATGTATATCACATGAAATATTTGACCAAAAACAGTAGTAGATGAATGAAATTTACAACAAGTATTCTCAGGGGAAAGATTATTCTTTCAATCACTCATAGTGAAAATACGGAGACAGTTTTTAATAAGGAATAGTTTCAGAGTACATTATAGTTCAAATATCAGATAAACAATCACAAATTCGTTACTGGACAATTGAGTGACGTCTTATTTCACGCATTTCAGTGTCCAATCGAGAATTTTGAAGCCGTAGCATCGGAGAACCGGTATTATTATGTAAGGGTCGAACTGCTGGAGCATGTACTTCGTTGCCAACTTCGATAGCACTAATTTCCATAGCAGTATGGCGAGCAACTCCTTTAATATCTCTTGTGCATTTTGCGGGAACTGTTACATTTGCGCGATTAGCATCACCTGACCGTGCAGCGTTCTCGATCTGGGACCGAATGCTGTATAGTTCTTTCCCTATTTGGTTCTTCAAATCATCATTACCAACTATTTTCGGTAGTTGCTCATCTGAAAAAGTGATCTGATATTTCTGGTGGAAAAAGAAAAACTTCCCAATATTTCCAAAGGAAAGAAAAAAAGGAAGGTTTGCTGAAAGATTTCATGGAATCTTATCTACAGGCCGCTCTTTCAATTAACTTTGTGTTAGCTGATTAAAAATTTTAACCCATACATTCATTCTTCAACATAATTCCTTGGATTTTCCTTTAACTCTAACTACAGCTCTGTAGTGGGAAACATCTTGTGGAAAACTTTGTTACTAGTGCTCTAAAACCAATTCTGATTTGACATACGAGCTGGAAAACTCCACGAATATCTGACCATGTCCAAAATTTAATCCAGAACAATCATCCTAATATCGATAAGGTTAATTTTTGTATGAAGAAAACATATTTTAAGAAATTTCGAACTTACTGATTATGAGTTCAATCCTCTGTTTTACTACACTAGCCATCATATCCATATCATTCAATCTTGATTGCAAACATGACACCTGCTCTTGCAAAAGCTCGATTACCTAAATGGACCTCATAAGCAAGCAGCCTGATGAAGGAAAACAACGCTCACAATTACACCTGTAAAACAAAGAACAAGCTGACTAAATTACCTGAAAGTAAAACAATTACAATGAGCAAACCTCGTCTGAAGCATTCATACCCGTATGTCCACCTGTATTGTAATTTATTTGCGGACGAACCAATCCTGCAAGAAAAACAATGCATAATGAGACGGAGCTGCTTTCTCGACCTTTTCAGCAATCATATCACATCTATCAGCTGGGGAACAAAGCAACTACCAGTGAAGCTAAATTATTTACAGAATTCAACTACAGGTTCAAGTTTTGTCCTAACAAATGACAAACTTTATAAAATATTATTAACCTCTTTCAACCATGGTTCGATCCGACAGTGTGTCGACAATTTTAGTAACAAATGATTTAGTATCACCATGTTGATGCCTATTTTCACCAGCGTTACAGAACATCATTCCTGACGATGAGAATTGTTTTGGTTTTTCTATAACAATTTTCGTTCCAACAATATCTTTGGTTCGATTTGGATGTATCATTCCAGTGACTGTTATATTTTCGAAATTAGTAACATTAAGAGTTTGTGGCACTTCATACTTCTGCAAGAATAGTTCAGACTGCAAAAGTTAATAATGCGTGTATATGACAGGCAAATTGCAATTGCACATGATGAGTTAATCTTTTAATTTAAACTCTCTTTTAATCTTTTAATTTAAATAGTTCCTAGAAAAAAGAGATACATTCATCATATCTGACGACAAAAAAAAAAAACAATCGAACAGTAAATGCTGCAATTTTTAAATAACTGGATTCTAAACCAAAGTCTTACTTTGGGTGATTTGATATGTAAAGCGTATTGAATTAATGAATGCGCATCAGCTACCGGTGGGTAACGCATTAAATACTGTAGTGTTGTACTGTAATCTTCATTGATAACTAAAAATATGATTTTACAATAATGTTATGCGATAAGCAAATGACCGACTTGAATTTAACAATATTTTTCAATTCAGTCACAAGAATATTTTCTGTGAGTAAACAATAATATATTAGCTATAAAATAAATCTCGGAAATTGAGGGAAATTATTCTAACATACTTAAATGTCTAATGTATTCAAGCATTGCGACAAAAATATAGTCAACCAAAGATAATGGTGGCCTGAAAGCGAATATAGCATCCCATATAAATAAGAGGTCGTGAATTGGAAATTCGCGTCCAAACAATAATCGTAACCAGCGGCTATAAAAAATTTGGTGAGCAGAATTTCAAACTTCTTTGCAATTTGAACTGGTGAATCCTATAGGACTATTCAACCAAAATCTTTAATCATCAAAGTTTTATTATGAAATACTTCAAAACAATCTATCGTACACGATAATTTAAAAGCACACGGAAAGATGTTAATTTCTCAGTTTGCGGAACTTCACATAAATATCTTCACGTAATCTTTTCATCCTTGTAATTTCAACAATGATATGAGAAATTATTTATTCGTTCACAAATCTAAAAAAAAAAATTGATGTGATAGTTCGAAAGTAGATTTTGACTAACATTCCATAAATCTGTGGTAAAATCTTCAATTTTGAAAGATGCTGATGCATGGCCGGATCAATTACTGCCAATATATCGTTCGTAATACTTCGAAGCTTAATAATTAATTCATTTCTCGGATCAGCAGAAGGATCATCTGGACTAACAAATGGCATGGAATGGCCTAACTTCCCATTATTTCCCGAAACACGACTGGAATACTCGACATATTCCTCATCGCCAGCCAAATACCATCGCTCCAACATCATCATTAGTTGATTGAATATTTCACTATGAATAGAAAGAAGCCCAATGAAGTAACACTTTAAATAAAAAAAAAAATGACACTTGGTGACACACGCTTACTGTGCTGTGCAAGAATGCAAATATGTGTTCTATGGAAAATGAAACAAAAAAAGTTCAAGGAAATACTGCTAACTGTTGGACACAAAGCAAAACGTTTACGTTTCTAGAATTCGCTAGAAGTTATACTAAAATTTCTGACAGTTATAAATATGATCTTCAGAGCGCAGTCGAAATGACTGGAAAACACGGAAAAAAGCGATGCTAGTAAAATTTGCAATTTTGGGTTGAAGAATGTTTTGTTTTTTACGCTGTATTATATCTAGCTAATCCTAAATTTCTCCTAGATTTCCCGCTGCTAGTAAAAAAAAAGCTTTCCATAATTTTGCTTAAAAATGTGAATACAAAATTATAAGCAAATACACATAAAAACAGTTGATACTAAAAAAAATATGAAAACCAACAAAGAGTCGTGTTCAAGGAAGTCCTGATTATTGACAGCGCATAAAATTTTCAGCTCTTCTGGTGGTACTTCTCTGAAATGAATACAGCGCTCTAAAACATCACATTTTGGAACAAAATAGGAAACTAAATTATCAAATAAACGAGGTTCATTTTCCAAAATTAATAACTAATTAATACATTTTACACACGAAGTGCAATAAACAAATGTATTTGCTACAAATACAAAAACTGAAATTCAGTAACAATCATATCCAGTTTAAAGATGAGCAGAAAGAACTATGCTTAAAATTTTCTTACGCTTATGAAAAAGCAATGTTACGGGCATAACAAGTCACCTTAATCCATTTTGTTCTATGAGATGAGCAAACGTTTGTTGGTCGTAATTCAAGACAAAAATCAGCGTTGCAAGTATTTCGTGCATACCCTAGAAAATTACACATTGATACATTATTAAATTTGAAAATATGAATGTATGAAACTACCTGCTTATATGCAATGTCTGGATGTTGTTTCGCATATATAAACAGAATATCCGACATAATGGTTCGTACATTCTCATTTTTAAAATATTCTAATTCTGGAAATCTGAAAAAAAAAGTTTTTCCCAAATTTCAAACCATAATACAAACTTGTTTAAGCCTCCACTTAAATCAAAAGGGAATTTGGCACTGCATTTAAACAAAAACTTACGTTCGTTCCACATCACGATTTATAAATTCACGTAACTTGCAGTCACTGAAATATTGTTGCCACGGATTCTAGAAATGAATAAAAATGTCGGTATAAGAGAAGGAAGCATAATGATAAAATGATCAAAGTAAAATGCATTACCTCATCACCAAGTGACAATGGATTACTGACATTTGGATCTAAGCCCGATGTTTGCTCGCGTGGATTCATTAATAGCTAAAAATATAGATAATAAAATTTACATAGTGTACACCAAGCATTCCAAATATTTAAAAAAAAATATATGTATATATACAAATAGTGCAATACGGAATCGGCAAATTTTGTTTGATTCGCCGACTTCAGTCGTGCGAAACAATACTTGAATCCCATATTATTCATAGTTCATGTTTAAAGATGCTTAACACTAACCTCACATTTCAATTTATTATATGAATTACGGGTTCGCGATAGAATCGTGCACCATTCTTCTCGTTCAAGAGGTAAACAACGAAGTAAAATCTAGAAATGAAAGCTAACTACAATTAATGTGATCTTTTAAGAAATAATGTAAATCTAAAATATGTTTACACAGCATGTCATACCTGTAAACCTTAAAATTATTTCTTCTGTTGACATTTTAAAATGAATTTCACATGTATAAGTTTGACTTCAGAAACGTTTAACGAAACTAACCCTCCAAATGATAGATCGAACATGCGAACCGCGAAGTTTACCACTCAAACAACCTTTTTCTATTCGTTTCAAATTCACCCGCTGTCCAAAAAATTCTTTCCATTCTTCCCTATATGTTTCATGCATACAGAATAATATAATATGTATAAAAAAAATATACACACACATACAAAAACATTCACATAATTTTATTACCTTTTTTTCCTCCAAACATTAGTAAATGTTCATCCACCCACATTTATTAATTTTTAACGTTATAATTGGTAGTATTTCCACTTAAGGAATTACTTGAAGCAACTCACAAATATATATTAAAAATGAAAACATCTGTAAATGTCCAGATGATGCTAAGTTACAGAACTTTTGCTTGAATTAAAATGAATCTTTCAAATTTCGAAAGCTAAAATGAATCCCCTTCCTCTCTTCTATACTTTTACGTTTCTTTATATAAAACTAAGGTAATGCAATAAGCTTACTGAAATGTCGGCTGATGACTTGAACTGTCCATGCCTAACAATCAATCAGTCAAAAATGTCAATTCTGTAAACAATCACTTAAGACAAAAAAAAAACAATAGATTATGATGGACAATTTTCCATTTTCTTTGCAAGAAGTGATGATTTTTTAGTATGGAACTGCTGGTTTTTACGTCTTTTCTGTCCTTTTTTTTTTACATTTGTCACATCAGTAAGAAATTTGAAAGTTTATTGGCAAAATCATCTTTACAATATTTCTAGTAATATCTTAATAATAACACTATGAAGCTAAATTGCAACAATCCCTGTAGCATTGCCAATACTCCTTATCAAAAAAACTCCATTCATTACGTAACGAATCCTCAACTCTGACATTTTACTCATCTGGATTAATCTAAATCTACACGATACCTTTTTACAGGACATGAATTTGAACCTACCTTTAACTTGGCCCAATCAACAGTTAACAGTTACGTGCAACGTATTTAATCAGCTCCGATACATAAATTGATTTCATGAACTGCTACAATGTCACCACAGTACAAACACAGTAAGCAGTCATCAGGCATTACTAAACGAACTAGCCTCAAGAATTTCAACGCCAAACTCTCCTACAGCTTGAAACCTTTCAATTATCAAATATCTCTGTGCACCACCTTTCAGTCTTATTTGCATTCCCTCCTTCTTTTCACCAGCAAATAAACTCATTCATATTTCGCTAAAATGCGGTATGTTTTAACAAACTAATAGTGATCTGAATATAGCCTTGCTGCCATTCGATGCAACGATATCAATTTACACTGTGCACTACAAAAGGAAACCTCTCGTGCCTCTTCTTTATTTCTTAAATATATTTGACATATATAATTGTCCACATCTGGAGAACATTAGAAATTAGAACAATTCACAAGACAAATAGCCCTTTTCTGTAATAGTAATTCTTTTACTTCAGAAAAAGCTTCAAATTCAAAATTGGATGCTTGAAAATTTTAATCCGAAATCTAACGATATATTAATAGTGAAGCTAAGGAGTAAATCATCATGTCGTTCAGTCACATCTCTGAAAATTATCACTCGGATTTAAAAATATTAGGGTGGACCTTCCGCTTCATCTCGTTCTGTTTCTTTCCCCCGAACAGAGCTACCTAGGAAAAAAAAACTCTTATGATAAAAACAGTTGTTAATCCCAACCGTTTACTCGTTTCTGAAAATAGTGAAACTTTACTGCTGAATTTTTCCTCTTTAAAGGATAATTTCTAAAACTGATTTTAAATTTAAATTTAGAGCAAATCAGCAAAACATAACCGATCACTCAAACATTGCTTATAACCATCTTTGAGTTAAATCATAAATTTAGAGTGTTTTCTTCTTTCTTTCTTTTTCTACAGTTTCAAATACGAAAGTAATTTGGAAGAAACAAACTGCCAGTCTTAAATCATAATTTTATGTTAAAGGAAAAAAGAAAGCGAGGAAACAATCCGCAACAAGAATGTATAAATCACATACACAATAGCACATTCATGCATTCTTGAGATGAGAAAAAAAGAAAAAGGGAGAGACTGGAGAACCGGGAGAAAGATAAAAATAAGCCCGTTGATCAAAACTGAAGTCTTATTCGAAAGAAAAAGAAAAAATTAGTGAAGTTACGTTACGTTACAAGTTCCAGAATAAAACCATATTTGGGAGAAAAAGGAATAACAGGAGAATAAAAGGAACAAAAGAAAAACACAGCGTACCCAATGCTAGGATAAACCGTCATGGCAGATTATATATACAGCTTGGCAGATCATATATCCAGTAAAGGAAAATTTACAACTGACATAAGAAATTAGAGTTGAGTCAAACCTAATAAGAAAGCAAATTACAAAAGTTTACTGTAATTTGTCTGATATAAATAAAATGCTTCAATCTATGAATCATTCTACTATCACTTCAATATTTTGCTGGAGATTTTTCGAAGTGAAAAAAAATTCATGATTTGTTAAAAATATCCCGAAAAATATTTGTGAAAAAGATATGTGTTTAGAAAAAAAGTGTAAATTTTGCGAAAATAAGTGCATTCAGCCGCGGAAGAAAAGCGCAAAAAGATCCTCAAATGTGCTTTGAATAAACAAATAAAAATAACAACAGCATATTCTGATGAAATGACCACGAACCAGCATCAATTATTAGCATCTGAAACATACGAAATTTATTTAAAGTTTAACAAGAAAACGTTGAACAAATCCCGTGGTCAAAGACCAGAGCTACTACTTTACACTACTATTTTAATGGATGTTGGAAATGGATGAACAGTGAACCGAGAGCAAAACATTTATTAAAAGATAATAACAAGAACTGTTTTTTCTGAGCATCGCAATTTCGACTGCTTATTTTCAAAGGTGAAAAACTGACTAGTTTAATAAGAATTTCTTTTTTAGTTTAAAAAGAATTCTTACAGTTACATTTCATGTAAAAACATTCCGTTTGGCGCTCAAAACACAGCTTTTCGGTTTTTGCACCGATTTGAAGCAAAGTTATTTGAAGTTGTGCATGATTTGCTTTATATAAATATGAGTTTAAATAAATGCGATTATTTAAAATACAGAAAATAGTCAAAGCCAAACAATTTGCAATACTGACCGTTTGGTGGAACTGAACTATTTTGAACAGTACCACCAGGCTGAAAAGGTTGGTGTTGTTGATGTGGCGGTCCACTGGTCACACTGTTTACCGAATTATGGCGTATTGATCCAGCACTGCCTCCTTGTTGTTGCTGCGATTGTGGCGGCTGTTGTTGCTGTTGCTGGAATACTCCCTGCTGATGCTGGGCTGAAAAAAAAAGTAAAATTCCAAAAAAGCACGAAAAATCCTACAAATGAACCACAGATAAATCTTAAATTTCGATTGCTTTTTCAAAAACAACACATATCTTTCAACTTTCACTTTCCTTAATTCAGTATGAGAAAGAAGAAATTTAACACTTACCATGCACGTAATGACTATAAAAATGATCACCAGCCACAAAGGGTTGATGAGGTAAAGTACTTGGTATCTGCGGTTGTTGTAAAGCAGCTGCTTCAACAGCTGCTCCTTGGAACTGTTCGAACATACTCGGCTGAAACATCAAAAAAACCAGACTTCTTCCAATCAAAAAAAAATTTGTGAAAAAACCACAGCTTATAGAAATCGCTGAAAAAAACTCTGAATGATCCTTATACCAAAGATAAACAGAACTGTTAGGATAACTGAATACCGGATCTGACCACTGATCCCAAACGAGTCTGAAGTGTTATCCAACAAAAACATTTATCAAGAGAAAAAATCAAGCTGTAACTGTTTTCAACATAAGATCATTGCAAAAAACAATGCCAAATTCTTACTTGTGCATGCACTTGATGTGCTTGTGAAAATGGAACATGCGTCGTCGCTGCCGGTGCTGCGACAGACGGATGAACAACAACTGGCTGTGGACCATATGCCATTACAAAGCCTGGCTGTCCAGCAGTAATGAACGGAAATTGCTGCAACGAAGGAATCATCGATGGCTTTCCACATTTGCATAGAGATTTATATCTACTGTTTGCTTATCCTCTTTAGTTGAAGAAAGAAAACAAAATGAAGAATATTTGCAATGTCCAAACATTTTGTAATCCAAAAATTCACATCTGACAAAATCAGTCCACACGAGATGATGTGAGTTTATTCACTTAGCTGCGCATGAAGTAATCATAGTCATTATACTTTCACTAATACAAATAACGAATGACATGCAAGTGAAAATCTCAATCTGTGAAACCCCACTATCAATAAATATACTGTGGGATCAATTCATGAATTCACTTTTCCCAAACAAAACAGTGCAGCAACATATTTTTCATTTAAAAGTGAGTTATGTCATAACAAGTGTTGCTTAGGATGATGCTCATCCTTCATTAACAAATCCATTATTTCCGCTTTTTTTTTGATGTGCCGCCACAATTTCTGATTTGCCAACCACACACGTCACTTTTAGTGTACACTGTTGACTTCCACAAAACCCACTTATGCTCCATTTGAATCGTGTCATTTGTCATCATGACCTTTTGAAATGTAACAATCTTTAAGATACGCAAGTGTAAATTAATTGAGAAAAAGAGTGAATGATGAACATATAAACAAACAACAAACCGGTGCTTGGACGTACATGTGCGGCTGTGCGTTTGGTGGAGCTGCACCAGGAGGAAGTGGAATAAGTACAGTATGTGGCGATTGCGGCGTCCCGGATTGCGGATACTGTGACAATGACACCGGCTGCTGCTGTTGTTGTTGTACCTATTTGAACGGTGCAAAGTGAACAAAAGCGGACTAAATTAGGATAAGTTAACAAGTGGATACACAAACATTGTGCATTTAGTGCATTTGGTACAAATTCACATACATATACATGCACACACACACACACACACACACACACACACACACACACACACACACACACACACACACATACACACACACATACATACATACACACACCTACAAATACACCCATCCACATACACACACACACATAGACACACACAAAGCATGCTTCATATTCACTCGATCCTTAAATGTATTAATTTTGGAGGATTTATAGCGCTCTGGCGATAACAATACAATTAACTGCTTGCTTGATTAATTCATCGGTGGAGCAGGAATTTTCAAACTTGAAATAATGGCTCAGTCTGACCATATTAACAGCTTACATCAAAAAGATTCAACAGTAAAATATCGGTTAAAGTAATTTCCATCGAAAAAAAAGATTTTAATATTTACTTACATTCGTAACTTGGATCACTCTGGAAACTATTTAATTTGAAATCTCTGTACAGTTTGCTATTATTATGGTTGGCCGAGATACAAAAAAGCAGTAACTCATAATCATTCCATTGCTTATGAAGAACAGTAGCGAAAAGTTCATAAATTCTTCTTTCACTTCATAAAACCCCGAATCATTAATGCAAGATAAACATTTTGCCCTGGTGAAATGGTCTGTCATAATGTAATGATATTTCTTTACCTGGGGAGG